GTTTTAGCGCGAATATTGAAATTAAGTGTATCGTAAAGTTGTATTCGGAAAGAATAAACCATTTTATTAAGTAAGGATTTGTGTCGCTAAAGTTTCGTCGGAACTAAGTTACGGAAAGTTAATTAACAAACGGAGACGTAACACTATGTTGCAGAGTTTGCTGTTTCTGCTGAAGTGTGTAGTGCCCTTTACTTGAACTCCTGTTAAATTAGTTTAAAAAGGCTTCTTAATGAGAGCAGAAAGGATGTCGACAGCAGTGTATTTCAATGGTAATTCAGGTAAAATATCAAGGTTTTAACACTTCCCATGTTTGAATGAGAATGGACAATAGCGAATGTAACACTAGTCACTGTGGGTATATCTGACATTTTCCATTAAGTAATGCCCGGCATGGCCAGGTGGTTAGGGTACTCGATTCGCAATCTGAGGGTCGCGGGTTCGAATCCACGTCACACCAAACATGCTCGCCCTTTCAGCCGTGGGGGCGTTATAATGTAACGGTCAATCCCAGTATTCGTTGATAAAAGAGTAGCCCAAGAGTTGGCGGTGGGTGGTGATGATTAGCTGCCTTCCCTCTAGTCTTACACTGCTAAATTAGGGACGGCCAGCGCAGATAGCCCTCGTGTAGCTTTGCGCGAAATTCAAAAAACAAACAAACCATTAAGTAAGAAATGTTAGAATTAAACAATCTACACAACATCTCTAGTGAGTTGGTATACAGAAAGACATCTCAAGGAAAGAAAATAACCTAATTAACCCACGAGCCAAGAGAAAGGCAACCGTTCAGTGCATTCTGTATTTTTTCTTTATGAATAAATAAAGGTTGTTTTCATTTAACACCAAACATCGTGTCCAGTCTGTTTTTTCTTAGCATAAACTCAGTCACTTTAGTTAATTTGAGCATTACTTCGTGATTTATCTTGTTTATCCTTATGCTGTAGAGCAGACCTACATAATATTCTTTGCAGAAATCAGTTTAACCTTAGAATACAACAGGGTAGATAAGAAGATGAAATTCTGGTGCTGTGACCATAGAATTTTATTGAGGAATTGGTTAATATGTGTATTGCTCTTACTTGAGTTATTGTGTTACTAGTTTAAAGGAGTTTTCTGACTTACAGGATGCCATCTTCTGCAAATAGTAGTACTTAAGACCAAGAAGGGAGAATATGCCATTTAAGAGAGATGGTTTTATGAGAGAAGTGTCGAGTCTAAAAGAAGTCCTCTCCTGGACATAGAACTTTTGTAAACGTCTCTGACATCAATCGTTTTGTACCTGCAGACTCAAGAAGATTAACTAATGTCTGGTTTACCCAGGATGGCAGATGGAGCATTGTCTCTGAAAATTGATCTCAGTGCAGGGAAAACATAAATGACTGAGGGTCACCAAGGTGAAATGGCACCTGACGAGTATATTAAACCATATGGAAGGGTCTCTACATGACTCCAAGGTTGTCATCAGACAGAGTAGCACAACCTCATCTATTGTCAAGAACACCCAAGACGAAATGAGAAGTATAGGGTGTGAGACATCAGGCACCTATGGAAAAATGAATCATTGGGCAGTAGTGAGCCTTTCAAAGCTTGGAGGTACCCTGTTAGGACAACTATGGATTGTGATGACGTTTGGGGTCAGAAAGAGCTTCAGGATGATTTACCATTTGAAAATAATATTTCTGCCACCCTGGACCAATGACTGACTACCAATCCACGATTTGGGGTTCTTGAGTACGTCTAATATTTTGCACACGCGATACTGATGCCATCTCGGCCAGGTATTGTCCAAAAATCTGTAAGAAAAAGGCTTTGACCAATTGTATAGGTTCCAATGTGTGAAGCCATACAGATTTTCACCCAGTGTTCAAAGGTGCACTGAAAGAAGATATAGGCCATTTTCTCTTTTGAGTTTCAAGTAGGTAACCACTGGAATTGTTTTGACTTAGGAGCAGGCAGTGCAAAGCCTGATCTTGAGCTTAAATAATCCAGCAGTGGACTCATTCAAGCATTTGGATGAGGTGAAACAAAAAGACTAGGACACAGTCATAGCCAAGTTGCGCCGATAATTCAGCCCAGTGGAAAATCAAGTGATCCATCAAGCCAAGTTTAAGGCTCAGAGAGAAGCTTCACAGAGAGACTGGCTACTTACGTGGATGATATACAGTGTTTACACTGTATGCTCGATTAAGTTTGGGGACTTTCCAGCAAAATGATGAGACACCACCAGGGTATAAGGATGTCCTAGTTGACAGAGTTTCTGTTGTGCCAGATACAATACTTTGAGCTGGTCACTGCAGAGAAAGAAACCAGTAGCTACAGCTGTTGTTGTTATATCTTAGATGGACTATCCTACTCAGGTACGTTCACCATGCTGAAGATTAATCAGTCACTCACACATCGCAGTGTGATAATACAACTACAATGATTTTCATTGAACAGGCTGTGCTATACCAGTCCTCACCTGGTTTACATATCACAACCTATGCCGATGATGCCTTTACCTGAACATCACATTGGACAGGATAAAAAACCTTGTGCTTCATTTGTGGTATATACGGAGTACTGATGAGGGAAATGCCCTTACTTTGCCAAGCAAAAGTGGCAAGGCAATGATCAGTCACATAAGTAGTGTTTGTCACTATGGGTATATTCCTATTTTCCCATTAAGTAAGAAATATTAGATTTAAACACTGCAATGCTCTACATAGGGGCCCGGCATGGCCAGGTGGTTAGGGCGCTCGACTCGCAATCTGAGGGTCGCGGGTTCGAATCCCCGTCCCACCAAACATGCTCGCCCTTTCAGCCGTGGGAGCGTTATATAGTGACGGTCAATCCCACTATTCGTTGGTAAAAGAGTAGCCCAAGAGTTGGCGGTGGGTGGTGATGTCTAGCTGCCTTCACTCTAGTCTTACACTGCTAAATTAGGGACGGCTAGCGCAGATAGCCCTCGTGTAGCTTTGCGCGAAATTTAAAAACAAAACAAAACAAACAAAAGCTCTACACAGGATCTCAAGTGAGTTGTCTGAAGGAAAGATATTTTGAGGGAAGAAAACAAACAAACAAAAGCTCTACACAGGATCTCAAGTGAGTTGTCTGAAGGAAAGATATTTTGAGGGAAGAAAATAAATTAATTGATTTATGAGTTCAGTGAAAGGAGACCATTCAGTGTCCAATACAAGTATGTACACTGTTAAAATCATAAATAATATTCAACGTTAAACTGGTACATAATTAAAAACATTTTATTTAGGCCTATATGAGGCGTTCAAAAAGTTGACGACTCTACTGGCTTTTGAGATTTTAGCTCATTATATGTCTGTGGTGTTTATTGTGGGCTATTGAATTTTTTTTTAATATATTATTTTATCACTTGATTTTTTTTTCCATAAACGTTTAGAAATTAAGATTTTTAATTATTTAGTAATACTGCATTCCGTGCTGTTCCGGGTTTTAGTACGCCATTGCAGTTCTGGTTCGTTTTCTATTTATAGGCTTGACGCAAGTGTAATTTGTAGTGTTAAGTGTTAATATTTATAATTATAAAGTTTAGCAATGACGTAGATTCTAAATAAGAGAGAGCTATAAGTTTTGGTTTGAATCATTTGTTAGGATAACGAGTTATATTAATAGATTAAGATAGAATCAAACTTGAAGTTTCAAAATGAAGACTACATTGACTATGCTGTTTATCATTTTGAGTTTTTGTTTCATTAATCAAGGTAAGATTCATTCAGTGAGAGTAGTTTAAACTTTAATTAGTTTACGCTTTTACGTGTACATTAGTATTACTCATTTTGTAAGTCAGATTAGAAATAATCATAGCTCATTAATTTTAAATTTTTTTTTGGACTGCTGGGTATTTAGTAATTGAAAATGAAAGATCATTCCTGGCTGCCATTGCCAGGTAACTAGTTATTGCATAACTTTTAAGACGTTTAATTTGATAGAAAATGAGAAAGGCTTGAAAATTTATAAAAGTTTGGGAAAACTAGGCATTAGGGTAATATAGAAATTTGGAAAGTGGAAAAGGCTTCTGTGGAACAGTGGTTGATAATGTTAAAATTAACAGCAACGATGTTTATCTTAAACTGTTAAAGGTAAATGAAATGTTAGAACGAAGATTGTGCCATTAAAAAGAAGCTGATGGCAAGGTTTTTGTTGGTTAGGAGATAGCTGAGATTTTAGATTTTCTTATCTTTTTTTTTACAATACAGAATATTCTAGATTTCCTGATCTTGAGCATTCTATGGAAAACAATGGGATTGAACTGAAATTTAGAGATTGGTCCCTTTGTGGTAAAAAGAAAGATTGAGAGAGATTAAAAATGGATAAAGCATCAGGTACAGACAATATTTTTCAAGAGTTTAAAGGAGGTCACAAAATATACAAGAGTCTCTCCCTCTCGTTTTTTTTGTTGGTCAGTATTCCATAGACAGTGAAAAGGTGCATGAGGTAGTGTTACTCCTATTTTTAAAAGGGGTGATAAGAGTTGCTCTGGAAATATCAGACCATTATTTCTGTAGGAGGGAAAATTTGTATAGACACTGATAAAGGCCCTACAAGATCACCTATTGAAATATAATAGAAAATCATCATGGATTCAGTAAAAGAAAAGTCTTCCTTTAATATTCTTTTAACTTTTTTGAAGTGGTTAGATGAGAGAAATCAAAGGATATAAGGGATTGAGCCAACCAATACTTTTATTATTCTTGGAGTGCTTTGAGGCTCAGTGCTTGGGCCTTTGCTTTTTGTTATTTACATTAATAATACTGATAGGTGTATAAACAATAAATTATTATTAAAGTTTGCAAGTGATATTAAACTCTTTAGTATTTCTAACAGTATTGAGGATGTTGAGGTACTACAGAATGACTTGGATCATTCGGTTATTTTGACAGATATTTGGCAAATGGTCTTTCAGTATGAAAAATGCAAGTTGATACATTTGAGTTATTATATATGGGAACTCACTCTATAGCTTGACTGAAGAAAATTATCTTGGGCAGTACTCTAGTACTAGTAGCAATAGGGGACCAGAAGGGAGTGTTGTACCAGATCTATCAAGGCAGTTATACTAGGGAAGTTAAACAGATTATAGTATCAACAGAATACCAGACTCAAGTGATGAAGTTGGCTCATGAATCAATTGTGGGAGGACACCTAGGAACAAAGAAATTGGCAGTCGGAATCAGCAGTAACAGGAGTCATCGGAGATGTGAGTAGAGTCTGCAGGTCATGTAACATTGCCAAAGGATAATACCTAGAGGGAAGGTAGCCAAGGTACCACTGGGTGAGATGTCTCTCATAGAAGAACCATTCAGCAGAATAGCTGTGGACTTGATTGAACCACCAGCACCTGTTTCTGATGAGGGCAACTGGTATGTGTTGATGGTAGTCGACTATGTGACACATTACCCAGAAGCCATAGCACTACTGAAGACAGAGAGAGTAGCAGAAACTCTCCTGGAAGTGTTCTGCAGAGTAGGCTTTCCAAAAGAAGAGGGACACAGTTTACCTCAGAACTAATGCAAGAGGTGTACACACTCATTAGTACTAGGCAGCTCTTTACCACCTCTTACAACCCTAGATGTAATGGACTTTGTGCTGAAGACCATGTGACTGGAGAGACAACGTGACTGGGACAGGTACCTGCAGGCAGTATTATTTGCTAACTGAGAAGTTCCACATGCAAGTACAAGATTTTCACCCTTCAAGTTGCTGTACGGAAGAACAGTATGTGGTCTAATTCAGATATTGAAAGAGATATGGACAGGAGAAAAAAAGTCGGAAGTATGGAACACATACCAGTACGTGTTAGACCTCAGAAACAAACTGGAGGAGACCTTTCAACTCGCTCAAGAGAGCTTGTATGCAGCTCAAGGCAGTCAGAAGCATTTCTGAGACAAGAAGGCCAACAATTGATGTTTCAAAAATGGACAGAAGGTTTTAGTTGTGCTACCAACAGACAACAACAAAATTACCCTGTAGTGGAAAGGACCTTTTCAAATGCAGGAAGTGGTCAACAGAATAGACTATAAAGTGAAAGTGGATGGGAAGACCAAGATCTACCACACTAATCTGTTGAAGAAGTACTTCAAGAGGGAAGAAGACCTAATAGGTGCAGCTATTGAGGCACACATGGACATGGCAGGTATAGCTGTTATAAATGCAAAATCAGAAGACAATGACTTTGTCCTAAAAGATGGAGACCTACTAGGTTTTAGACTACTGGGTGGAGACGAGACATACAAGGACATCAACATAAACGAAGAATTGACTTGGAAGCAGAAGAAATACCTAGAGGAGTGACTATGCCAGTTAAGAGATATCTTCACAGATAGACCAGGCAAAGCAAACCAAACCTTGTGCAACACAAGATCGAGACCATGACCAGGGATCCAGATACCCTATGTGATGAAAGACCAACAATAGAACTGCAAATGTTGGTGTAGGCTACATGAGGAGACCTTGTGTATGAACTGAAAACAGTATTTGTATATAGCGTAAAAAAATATTGTAAATATTTTTTCTTGAAGAGGGGCTTATTGTTGGTTATACCCGACTGTCATTGTTTAAGATTTGCAGCATAGGTAAATTAATATGTAGAATTATACACAGACTTTTCTCTATGTTAAAATACTTTTATTTGCAAGTTTTTGGCCCTCTTACCAGAGCCTTCATCGGGCAACAATGTATTGAGTGATTAAAAAAAAAAAGAATTTAAGCTGTGGAACAGGTTTGATTATGTAACTGTTTACAAGTCATTTGTTCCATACTTCAATTGTTGTGAATTGATGTCATGCTACTTAAACCTTCTGATAGGCGATAGGAATTTGACTCTTAACCCTTGAATCGTGATATATTACGAATGTAAATAAACTGATATGTTTTCAGTAAACAGTGAATTAATATACCATTAAAATTTGCAAGTATCACTTATTTAGTAATGAATAGAACTGGGTGTTAATGAACTTCATAATTGTTTAATTGTTTATAATGAGACTTGGATAGTTGGAATAATTCTTGAGGTGTGACACATGTCAATTAAGTTTAACCACCTTGAATTAATCAAAAGTAATAATAATATTAAGTCTTAATGGCAATATTTTGATTACTTGGATAGTAGGAATAATCAAAAATTAACAGTTGGAAACACTAATTTTGATTAATCACTTGTTTTATTACACTAATCAAGGTAATTGAAGCTCGTAGCTAATTGATTTGGTTTATTAATTGAGTTAATCTATCAATTCTAGTAATAAAAAAAAATATAAGATATATAAACTTTTTGTTTTTCTATATTGTACTTTATATTGGATAGACTATTATAGAAATGTATAATTAGGATTGGACTGTAGCTTTCATAATGTGTAATGAGAAATAAACGTAATAAGGATAGAAACATGGTGGATCAGCTTTTTCTTGATTCAAAATTCTTGTTTTACTTTGTGTTAAAATAATGAATAATTTTATACCCATAATGACCTTATTCTTTACCTCTAACAAGTGAAGTGACACACGTTTTTAAGTTTATTGTTCAATTGTGGTTGATTGTATCAGCGTTGTTGTGTGTGTATGAAATTGTAAACTCAATTATTGGAACTAAGCAATTGTAAATTTTTTTTTATATAATGGTAATCTCACTAGTTAGTATTTAGCATTTTTTAAAATTATAATCAATGTCAAAAAGTAATTTTTATTTTCATCAAAAACAAATTTAGTTTTATTTGTCTTGTGAATTTGTAAGGACACACCCACAGAATGATATTAACAGCATTTTCAGGGGTGAACATCATCAACTTATGAGTAAAATGTGGGTCAAACCCTTATGAAGTGGAATAGAGTGTAATTAGTTTTATTGCCACAAACTGATGAAAGGAACATATGAATGTTATGGCTTGTGATATACACAGCATATTTCAGATTGCTGCACTTGGATGCACTTTAGTTGGAAATTTGGTTTTGAATAAGTGATTTCTTCATATTGAAAGAAGTATAATCTAAGACTAGGTTGCTTGAGGCTAGAGCGAGGTGATTAGTAGAATTTACTAATCGATTGATCATCAGGCTTGTTAATCGATTACATTCAACTAACTGAATATTCTTGCATGACTTGCCCTTAAAAATCTATGGGCAAAAACTTTTGATACAAATCCAAAGGTAATCTGAACATTTACTATTTGGTAAATTGATAATGTCAAGGTGATCATAAGGTCACCATTTTCTTTGTTTTTTGATGTATGCAGTTATTACCCATTGATATATATAAATCAAATAATGAAAAAATTTTGCTATAACTGATAACAGTAGTAATGATTTTCTTTAAAACACACCATGATTAGAAATTAGAAATCATTAAATGGCCAGTAAACCAAGTTATTTATATTACTTGAATACCATAAATATACAAATAATATTCAATAAAAGTATTTGAGTCATCAAAATATTTTGCCATCACCTACTGTACTCCCTAAACCTAACTAAATCTTACCTGATGTCTTATTATCTAAGAAAGTCCCTTTAGCTTTCAAACATGTATATTTTAATACAAATATTTTCATTTTGACTCAGGATGACCAAATTTCACAACAAAAAGAAACCCTCTGGGCTCTATAAAAACAAGTCCTGCCTTAACAGGCTTAAATGATAAATGTTAAGCAATGGAGTTGTGTTAAAAACCTATAATGAAATAAAATAGCAGCAAATATTAGATGTGGGGAAAAAAAAAAGGCCCAAATTATTGGAACTCAAGTTTAGCAGTCTCGGACTAGAAACTTTCCCGACAAATGATAAACTACTGCTTAAATAATTATATTTACTCTTATTGTTACATCAAAAGTCTAATTTGTACTCTATCCAATGTTATTTAGACTTTCTTTATAGCTGTTTAAAGCTATGTTTCATCAGTAAATGATAAAACCACTTGATGTGACATTTATAAAACAAAAAAAAAAAAAGTAACATCTAAGACCTCTACAAAACTAAGCAGGAAAGTAAGCTTAAAAATCAAGAAATGAAAGACATTCAATTATCTGATACCTCATATAGGCATATGTCCAAAGCTATGTTTTATTTTTTTTAAAATAGTAAATCTTTTATTTATGAGTTTTTTAAAGTAATAAAGTTTATCAATACAATATAAAAAGTTATTTGAAAATGTCGGTATCCTCAAAAGAGAACTTCTTTTTAAATGATGTAATTTGACATTGGTTATAAACCAGGAAAAACTAGGTATAACAGTGACTAGTGAGACAACTAGTAGGCATAGATTAGAATAATCTACATATACTTAGTCCCAGGGATCAAGTTTAGGATTTTATATTAACATGATTATATTAAGTCATCCAAACACATGGTGGTGAACAGTGTGTATACAGACACGTCCAAGCATGCTGATACTTATGTTATATTTACTTCCTATAACATTATGGGTCATAGGATGAAGCCCTTATTTCCAGTACACAGTTACCCAGATCGACTTTCAATTAAAATATACTAGGGAAAGAATAGTTGTAGTTGATTTATATGTACCCTTCTAAATCCCCTTCTTAATATCATTTAGTAGCTCTTTTTAAGATTTATTGTTCATTAACATATATTGTACATTACATACATCAATTATGATTGTGTTTTCAAAAATCATTTTCATTCCAACAATGAAAGACATTCAGTTAACTGACAGATCATGTAGGCTTATGGTCAAAACTTTTTTTTTAAACTAATAAATATTTTATTTGTGGTATTTTTTCTAAAGTAATATTTACTACTGAAACTCAAATAAATAAAATTAATTTTTTCAGAATAATTTAAGGATTGTAATATGGTATTGTTGAACTTCTAAACTGTATGTTTTAGTGAAAGAAAACTTGTTTGAATTGCATACACAATTACAGTATTTGCTGGTGTATAAGTCCATACTTTTTCCTCTTAAGACGAGGTCTGAATTTATCCCTTGTCTTATACACAGGTTCAAAGATAGAGTTCCAGTAAGAACTTTGATTAATAGCATATTTAACCAAAACTACATTGTTCCTTTTACTTTTGTTTGCTTTTTTGAGTAAATGCATTGACATCGTACCACGTACTGCATTACAATAACAAATTTGCAACTTGTAACAATTTTTCAAACAAACCTTCATTAGGGTAGATTGATAATATGTACATTTGCAAAAAAAAGTATTTGCTTATTTTCAAGAATTTTAAAATGAACAAGAGAATGCTTCCTCTTCAATCATAATTCAACGTGAGGAAGCATGGGTATGTGAGGTTTATTAATACGTGCACATTAAGCTGTTTCTCTGAATGAGAAAATCATTACTAAGCAACGATATCACGTGAGGGAAAAATAGCCACACTTAATGAGCCGAATGTTACTACACTTGTCATTAGTATGCATATTTCAATGAACTTTAAAGGTTTGTATAACATTGTTAGTGACTGATATTTTGAGGAGCTGTTACTGGTCTAGTTTCTGTCAATAAACTGAAACTAGCATGCTGTAAAAAAAGTTATGAATTCTATGTCTTGGGAAAACAAAGGCATGAAATTTATACGAAAACACAATGTGAAGCAACATACTATTGTAGCATGCTCTAGTGTTGGGCAAGTCCTTTTGTATTATTGAGTAAAATTCAGAGACTTTCAGTATCTGTACCTGCGTAACTGAAAACAGAGTAGTTGTGATAACTGACTACTAACACTGAATAATTTTTGTGATACTGACCTGACTTATCACTGATTACTCGTATTTGTATATTGTAACCTTGTTTCTACGCATTAGACAAATCTTCCAAATTCTTAACTTTCATAATCTTTTCACATACACACTCTGGCAAACATTTAAATTAAAACATTAAAATAGCTTGCAACAATACAATAAATGTAACACATTAGTAAAAATAAGCATAATGATGACAGTATATAACTACAAGTATTTTTTATTATATTTTGAAATATATTTATTTAGATGTGGGATTTCTGCCTGATAAAATTTTATGTTTATTCCTATCAAAATTTTGTTTTGTGGACAGAATCATTATGAAACTTGCTCATACAAATAATGAGTGAAAATGTTCCTGAGCATTAAATATATAAACATCAGTTATGTTTTCTGGACATTTTTGAAATGAAAGATATAAAACTTTTAGGGTTAAGGCTTTTTTCTAGGCTCTTTGAGGTTATGGTAAAAACAGTTGTTTTTTTGTTTTTTTCCCCCCTAGGTTTCATAAAGGCAATGTTGTAATTACCACCTACTTATACATAACCAATCTAGAGTATGTTTTTTTAATAATATTCTCTATGATATAAAGTACAATGTTGTGCCATATTTTGTTTTGCTACAACACATTCAGTACGAAATTGGTTCATTCACCCCCACTTGGAAATTCCTTGTAACCATGAAACTACACATACTATAACTGAATGTATTAAGTGTATTTTCACAAAATTTTGTAATATTTTAGTAACCATCACTAGTCTGTTGTACGGAAAAAAAAATCTGATTTTTAATAGAATATTTTTACTGTCAACCATTTACTGAGCATGAGTGAGAGTTGATTTTCATGCTAAGAATAAAAGTATTATTTTGACCTTTGAGTTTTCATATTTAATTTTCGGAACCTCCTAGAATCACCAGTCAAAATGTAGTACTTACAATATTTAACATCTTAAAGAGGGGTGTTTACTATTGGTCATACTGTTAATTCACAGTGAGTAGTCTGTGTTATTAATTTCTGTTGTTTACTACTGGGGCAATCAGAAGAAGACAAATGGATCAGAAAATAACCTTAGCAATGATTTGGTGTAGTTTTTATCACCACTGTGAAGAATAGCAGGTTTTTCTACTCACCAGCTTGTGGCATTAATCATAACTTTGTGATGAGCATCTATCTAATCCTCTCACAGCTACCTCACTGAAAGATGCTAAAAGTACCTGCTAGCTTGCTATCAGCTATTATGAAGATAAGGACCAGCTTGACAGCATGAGAAAGCTTATAGACTCATCTAGAGAAGCTGAGGCCTTGAGTGTGAACTGTTGCAAGCAGTCTGCATTTGCAGACCATTTTCGTATTATGGAAATTGCAAAAATATATGCTTTAATCAGTGTGCAAAGAACGGGTAATGAAGATGTGAGATGATAAACATATTTAGGTTGTTGCATGATCTTGCATATTTTAAACTTGGAAGCATGTCAAACTCTCACTAGTCCACATTTATTAGTCCAACATTATATTATTCACTTCCTTTCACTTATGGATTAAGCTTGGATATTACCCTCACATTCCTAAACCTGATAAACAAAACTTTAAAAGAATTCAAGCACCACAAACAAAATTGTCAATCAATCAATTAATTCCACAAGTTTATAGCTCTTTATATGTTGTCAAACCCTACACATACATCTAAGCTTTCATAACTCAAATCTATTATCTCCACTGTTCAAATTAATTTTTATAATTTCCCTACTAAGACAACCCCTTTAGAAATCTGCCTGTACTCTAACAATTTGGAACACTTAAACTAAGTATTCTTATAGTTCTTTTGGATTCCAGTTTCTTCAAGTCCAAAAATTAAGCATCTCTTTAGAGCTTAAAATATAGAAGTAATCATGCTAGTAGCCTGTCTTTCCAACATGCTGTATAATAATATGATAAGCAGTAGTTATACAAATATTTGTATTTTTAAATTAATTATAAATCAGTTAATGTATTAAAATTATATGGATTTTTTTTTATGATGTAGTTCTGTCAATGACCTGCACTAAGGAGGTTCTTGGATTTACCACCAGCATCCATTGTCCAGGAATAGGAGATAGTGCAGAAAAGGTTTATTGCTGTGGTTCTGAAGAGTACCGTTACTGCTGTACATCTGAAGATTTTAGTGCTGAAGTGTAAGACAAAAAAAAATGTTTTATACATGATTTTATTGTGTACATTGACAATTTGCTTGGTTTTCTATTTATGCATTTTATTTCGTGTATGACAAGAAATTCTTTTAGTTATCACCAGTAAAGACAAAATATACAAGTTTTAACCCACTAGTATGCTATAAATGAAATCTGTGTTTCTTAGTGATTTATTTTAGCATTAAAAATGCAGTTCTTAAAATAAGGAAATTAGGAATTAGAAAAATTTACCTGAATGTAGATGTATTCTTTACTAGTTATGGAAGGATAAAAATTGTATATTTCTAGTCATCGTGAATGTACCGGATATGTTTATATGAAGCACATCACAGGTCAGAAGGATACGATTAGTAATCTACTATTTATATGAAAGGTGCATACAAGACTGTGTACAAGTGTTTAGAAGTACTGTATATTATTGTTTCCATCTGATGTATTCCTGTTGGTGTATTACTGAAACCCCTGATTTTTTTTTACCTGATTTTCGAACTTTGTTTAGTTTTAACTTTATTTTTTTTTACATTTTATATTCTTTTACTATTGAAATTTTTACTAGTTGTTTGGCACAGATAGGAACCGTTTTTTTTTCCCACTGACAAAATTTAATTACCAAAATTCACGCAGACCCTAAAACAAGCTGTGATATTAAATAACTCTGGAGATTTGGAATTGTATGGTCAGATTAAAGAAAATGTTAAATAAATAAAAAAAAATTACTTCTGAACAGTCCATGTCTATAGAATCCAGTTAGAATTCTTTGTGTGATTACGTGTTACTTGAAACTCAAAAAAACTGTTGTACCTGCTTTACTTTATATGAAATTAATGATATTGTAAAACACAATTTTATAGAAAACTGGTTTGATTCTTTCCAGATGAGCAGTTCTCACAAAGTTATCCTGGCCCACAATACTAATAAATTACAGAATCATTACTGCACTTATACAAAAATATATTACCAAATCTCTATAACAAGTGACTTTAACCAATAGTATTTTTTGTATCTTATAACAATATTTATTTTATGATGATCGTATAGGTATTGATCATAAATAGGCTAGAAGGACATCTTGAGGAGATAAGTTCTGTTCATCATCAAGTAATTTGTCTGTTATCTTTTTCATTATTTTCACACATTCTTCCTGGTACATTATAAACATCAGTCTTTAATCTCAGAACTCAACTGTTCATAAATGATCTTTAGTGTTTAAAGCAAACTTTAAGATATTTTGGTAGAGTTGAACTTTAAGTTCATAAAAATTGATAACATTTTCTCTGACATAAAGTATTATCAACATTACAAAATCAACCAAATTACTTACATAACACTTATATCCAGATTATCCTAAAGGATTGTTTTAGCAACTCTTAAGTTTTCTTTCTAATGATACCAAAAGAGTTAAGTCATTCCATCAGCAGCATGTTTCATTCAAGTGTCAAAGCAGATACATGGGGAATAAAAACAACACAAGATTACCTTTTATGAGTACTGTATCATCCAAGCAAAATTGCATTAACCTTAACACTCTGCATTCAGTGATCTTTAAAGATTGATATTCTATCAATTTCTGTTTGTTTTTTTTAATTATTATAAATAACTACAAGCCACAAGCTTTTGTTTTGAGCCTTTGTTTTTAAATTGATTCTTCATTTCTTAAATTTTCTTTTTTTCTTCTAATATTTCTAACATATATTTAAATAAATTTGTATTTATATTTTATGATAATTAGTTTCTAAAATTCCTTTTTTTTATTCTTAATTTGCTTTGCTATACTCTCCAAGCCGGTAAAGAGGAAGGAATGCACAGGAAGTTTTAACTTGCTTTGCTATACTCTCCAAGCCTGTGCATTCCTTCCTCTTTACCAGAAGTTTTAATTTGCTTTGCTATACTCTCCAAGCCTATGCATTCCTTCCTCTTTACCAGAAGTTTTAATTTGCTTTGCTATACTCTCCAAGCCTATTCATTCCTTCCTCTTTACCAGAAGTTTTAATTTGCTTTGCTATACTCTCCAAGCCTATGCATTCCTTCCTCTTTACCAGAAGTTTTAATTTGTGTTGCTATACTTTCCAAGCCTGTGCATTCCTTTCTCTTTACCAGAAGTTTTAATTTGCTTTGCTATACTCTTCAAGCCTATGCATTCCTTCCTCTTTACCAAAAGTTCATTCATACTCATCACACGCATTATGCCACATTTCATATTGACCCTAAAAACACCATTATGTGTTCTAGTATGAACTATAGTAGATATGTGTTTTATTTTTCTTTATACTAATCTTATAATATGATCTATGTGATGGTATCATGATATATAATACAGAGGGTAGGCCATAGGAAACCTTTCTGTTAGAGATACTAAGAGTTACTCATTTTCTTGTGAATGTAAATTATCAACCAACAAAGCTATGTCTTCTGTTTAAAGATATGGAGAAACATGTTACTGCTATTAATACTAAGCATGTTCTTCCAAAATTAGGGCTGCAGAAAACACATACATATTATGAGCTGAAGATTCTGGCCAATAGACTTAAAATTTCATTTAGAAACAGTGTTATTTTTACACACAAAAATAAAGATAAACTATTGTGATCTCTAATGAATGGCAGGCCTTTCTAACAAGTGTTACTTGCTTGAAGTTGGAATGATTACACACAGATCATTAGCATTGTTAACACTATCTCTTGGAAGCAAGTGTGTTTCCAGAGCTTGATCTTGCTACATTTCATCATATGAGAATATCATGTTTGCTGGTGCTGTTATCCCATTTGCAAAGCTCCAGCACCCATATACACTGTAATAAACTGCAGATTTTTGTAAAAATAATTGATTAAATTATGAATAACTACAAACTACACTTTTCTCCAGCTTTTGTTTTTAAATTTTCTTAATTTCTTAAATTATTCTCTCCCCCCCTAATATTTCTAACATATTTTCATTCTTTTCTTAACCTGTTATATAGTCTACTTTACAAAATGCATATATATGCTTTAACCTGTTATATAGTCTTCTTTACAAAATGCATATATATGCTTCATATTTATATTTTTGTATAAGTTAAACAGGTGTGTGAAAGTAGACAGGTGCATGAAATAGAATTGCATAAATTCTTTCATTCTTTTCTTAACCTTTTGTATAATCTACTTTATATGCATTCTTTATATTTTTTGTGATATGAACTGTGGTGATAAAAGAAAGGATTCCTTGAGAAACAAAGAATGAATATGAAATACCAGTGTTATACTTAAAATTCATAATTAATTGAGAGGATTACATTAAAAACGCTACAGTGAAACATAGTTATCACGTTTGTTTGTTTTCTCTAAACACTTGAAGGAACATTTCAAATTTATTATTCTTTTGGACAGTAATAATGAATACGGAGACATAAAACTGATGAGAGGTTGTTTTATATGTAAACAAATAGTGTACAGAATAAATTTATCCTTGTATGCAATTGTAAAGTTTTGTAACTAATTGTTATCAGTTTTAAAGATTTGTTTAAACTTATATTTATTCTTATTTTAATTTCTATTCAATCCTCCAGATCAGATTTATTTTACTTTATTTTACAGTAATGTGGTTGGGTTAATTGTGGGTATCCTTGTCTCTGTGGTTGTTGTTGTCATCATCAGTGTGATCATTTGCTGCTGCTGCTGTAGTTGTTGTCTCTTGGCAAAAAGACGTCAACAAGGAATTGTTCTATCAACTTCCCGTATGTATCTACTATTTATTTGATTCAGTAGTTAATCTTTGACAGTGGTTTTCATTTATTATTTTATAATTGTAATTAGATTATACTTTTGAACGTTGTTCTTTATTGTTCCATCACAAGAAGCCTTATTGTTGAAAGATTGAGTACTTTTAAATGATGCATTATATTATAGTTGTCTTTGTTTTTTTTTGTTTCTCTTATGAATATTAAAATATATAATAAAGTATAAGTTATTTAAAAAGTTGTAAAGATAGTACAGCTAGTGATAGGTCCTTTACAAAATAAAAGAACTAATTTTGTGAGGAGGTTTTAATTTGTTTCAGTGGGATAATATACAGAAATTTGAATGTATGCATGTGTAAACCTAGGCAATTAACTCAATTAATGATAATTAATTACCTGTAATTATCAATTACATCAATCGGTGTCACTTAAAATAATCAAAATTATGATTAAATTTATTACCACCATGAAAATATTAAACTAATTGGAATTAATGTTTCTGATTATTACTGTTTTCAATAATTCCAACTATCCTAGAAATTATTATGTCTAAAAACTGTAATGTTTAGGAAGGTCAAAATAGGGATTTGTAGCTTGAGGAAATAATGTTAACACTATGTCTCAAACCTTAAATTTGTTTGTTTACTTTTTTTGCAATTGCATTTTCACTTTAAGTTACCAATCTTGTATTTTTTTTTCAAGATCCCTATTTATAATTTATAATAATCTTGTAATTCTCTCTTTCGTTGCTATTGGACATATTTATAAACAATGGAAAATGCAAATTCTACATTAGATAAGACAGATGATTATTGTTTTTTTGCTGGGATAACTTCATATGTTAGACTAAAGATTTTGCTCTGAGCAGTAATAGAGTATTTTTTAACCTATTCATAGAATAGTTAGAATGCTAGTTAAATTTTAGTAGTTTTGGGACATTCTATTCTGGTGTCTGGTTTATTTTTTGTGTTGTAAAATGCATATTTGAAAGTTACATGAATTGTTTTTTGACAATCAATGTAGGAAAAAAATCTGTTTATTAAACAATGCACACAAGTGTGAAAGGTTTCAAAGCTAAAGCAAATGCTAATTTCTTAGTTTTTATTTATTGTAATACTTTTTTTGGCAAAAGTAACCAAGATATAAAAATTAGAAACATATCCAATTAGAAAAGAAAACTTGCATGAAATAATTACATAATTTATCCTGGAGGAATGCAAGCAGGTTGCTGTTGTGTGATGCAACTCAATAGCTAAGCTCTCCCTGGGTGATTTAGTGCTTAATTACTCTACTTAGATGTGGTTCAGAAGAGTAATAAAATTAAATGAAAACAGATGTGAAACTGTTTAGGGTAAAATTGTCTGTTACAATCTGCATTTCTTATACAAAAAAAAAGATAAATTTTTTCATTTTATTTCATATTTATCAACTTTTGCTACTGTTAGTGCTAGGATGAAGAAAATTAGAGCTAAAGTATAAAGCTTTACAAAGAAAAAAAAAATACTTTTGATATTCACTTAGGAGGTTCTAAAAGTTATGCAAATTAAAAATAAAACTATACTGAAAAGAACTACATGAAAATCACCTTTTACTCACATTAACTCATTAAAGACTTTATAAATTCAAACAAATTTTTACTAAAATGTTTTTTTAAAAGTTCTGACTTTTGTATAAAACAGAAATGTAATGTTTACATAAAACTTCAAATTTTGTGAAGATGCATATAGTAAATTACAGTAGACAGCGTGGTCACAAGTAAATAGACACCATCTTTTCAGGAAAAAAATGAAATTTTTCAGTCATATTCACATGAATTGATATATTTATAATTTAATTAATATCTAGTAGATCTTCCTTTCGCTTTGTGGAATTCGTTGATCTTTTGGGGCATCGTGAGATTCATCTCGTCAATTTTAGATTGTGGGATTTTCGCCCACTCTTGATTCAAAACTTGGAGTAGATCGCTCTTCGAAGTTGTTTTTTTTTGTTGTTGTTTCTTGACTTGCCGGTCGAGTATGGCCCAGAGGTTTTCGATGGGGTTCATGTCAGGAGATTGGCTAGGCCAGGGCAACTTCTGGATACCATTTTCTTCCTACCAGTTTTGGGTGTTTCTAGCAGTGTGACACGGTGCTCCATCTTCCTGGAACAGCGTTGTGTTCTTGTCCACGAAACCCGAGGAATAAAGTGGCAAGAGTCGTTCCTCCAATATTTCGACGCATTTCGCAAAATTTATGTTGCCAACGCACTCCACTAAGGTCAATCTCCCACCAATCCAAACAGCTCCCCAAACCATCACGCTGAAACCGCCATGCTTCACAGTTGGCTGCAATTTGTTGAGCCAATACTCTTAGTGAGGCATTCTCCAGACCCATAT